CACTTCCTATTTTCACTGATTGTGTTTCCTTAGTGAACAAGTCAAATACAGGCAAAGATCTTTGAAGGATCTATTAAGCCTCAATCTGCTCCTAAAGGTGATTGGAAGAATTCAGATGACATCTATTTCATATCCAGACTAATGAGGCCCCTGGAGATACCATCTGAACGGAGCATTTTTAGGAAAACAAGTCACATGTTTCTCTTTCTGAAAACAGTTTATCACTTAAAGTTAAAATAAAATGGTACTCAGTAATTCAGACCCATGCAATGATCAAGAGTTAATACTATACCCTTCTAGAGGAGCCAGGTTTATTGCTGAATTCAGACTCTGCTCGTGATCCCTTTAAAAAAAATGGGACTTTTATTATATGCCGTAAAGCCAAGACTAGTCAGCATGCCTTCTGAAATCCCATTTTAAAATTAGGCCCTTTCTTGGAGTCATTGAAGAGAGGTGTTGGTGATGTTTCCCTGCAGGGGACAGACCAGCTAGGCAATGCTAGTCCAGTTCAGTCCAATTTTATCTTGCGCTTTCATCTTTTTTTCTCTCCCTATGTTGTGGCATCAGCCTTAAAGTAATGTAAGTTGGGGCATGTTTTTGTTTGAGTTCTTGTGCTCATTTCTCAAAAAAGTATAAAACAATTCCTCCTAAATATTGACAATGCATGTGACATTTGGATTGTTCCTCAATGTCGGGGAAAAAGGTAGGAAAAGCAGCTGAGATCAGGAGACCCTCATTCAGCTTCTGTTTTTATTTCAACCCATACCTTCCAAGAAATAGCTAGGGCCCAATAATGAGTACTAGAAAGGGTCAGAGTGGGCAGTTTCATGTAGATTGGGGTGAGCTGACTTTTGGCTTCATGGTGAGCTCTGTTACACAAACACATCATGGTTGATTGTGCTTGATTGTGTGCTGTTTTGTTAGATTTTTCAATAGTGCTCAGCAATGGGGCATAGATCACAAAGAACTTCCTGTTTTCACACTGATAGCTGCCTTGGCTTCTGAGCAGCAAGGCCTGTAGAAATTTTAAAATTGATTCTCCTCCCCCATTTTGGGGCCAGAAAGTAAAGTTCATTGAGGATGGAGAGTAAAAAGTTACGCTAGATGCAACTCATAACAGTGAGCCAACTTTCTGACTTCCTGTCAGGTTCAAAGGGTAAAGTGAGTTCTAAGTCCAATATCTCTACAGTAAAGCAGGGAGATAGTGGGGAGTGGGCCACATTCCACTTGCTGCTGCTTAATAAAACCTGGGAGACTGAAAAGGGGGAGAGAAGGTGATGCTCCAAGAGGAGATGGACAGGGGAAATGGAAATCCTAGTAAAGACTGTCCTAACTTGTAAGACTGTAGAATGTTTGCCCTACTTTCTCCTTCCTCTTTCTTATCACTCTGCCCATACCTTGCTATCTATTCAACAAGTAACGTAATGCCCAAGGAAAGAATGGAAAAGGTTTCTGTGTTTACTGTAAAGGACATTGCAACAAAGCTAGTTTGATGGAATCATTTATTGACTAATGGAATTACATATCTAATGGAAATCAGTGGGAGAAAAGGTTATTTTGAGAGGCAGGATTTTGTTTTACTCCATTATTTATATCAATGAATACCTGTATTTTTTCTAGGTAAACAGTTCTTTTTAACAGTTGACAGTAGTGTGTACATAATGAGAAACTTTGTGGTTGTTATCTTGGCTTGTTTTTAATCTTTTTTCCCATCTTTGGTCCTAGTCTTTCACTTCTGGTTTGAGCATATTAGCTGTCTCTAAAGAAGAAACCACAAGGGCAGCTAGATGGTGCAGTGCATAGAGCACCCTGACCCTGAAGGCAGGAGGACCTGGGTTCAAATCTGTCCTCAGACCAAACACATGACACTTACTAGCTGTGTGACCCTGGACAAGTCACTTAACCCCAATTGCCTAACAAAAAAAAAAAGAAAAAGAAGAAACCACTGCTAGGGTGGAATGCTTTCATGCTACCTACCAGGATCTTTTCCCCTTTGTTAATAATGATAGCAGTCATAGTGGTAGTAGTGAAGGCAGCTAGGTGGCTCAGTGGATAGAGCACTGGCCTGGAGTCAGGAAGACCTGAGTTTAAATCTGGCCTCAGACACTTACTACCTGTGTGACCCTGGGCAAGTCACTTAACCTCTGTTTCTCTTAATTTACTGGAGAAGAAAATGGCAAACCACTCCAGCATCTTTGCCAGGAAAACCCCATGGACAATATTGACATGCTATAATCTACCAGGTCAACAAAAGAATTAAGTACCACTGAACATCATAACAATAAATACTAATAATAATGCTAGCTTATATTTGTATAGCACCTCATAAAGCACATTTTCTTCTTTATCTCATTAGTCCTCAAAAGAACTATGTAACAAAGATAGTCTAAATATTATTGGCTCCATCTTACTGAGGTTTAAAGGAGTGAAACTCACTGAAAGTAGGTAAAACAGCTTCCACATAGCTAGTTAAGTGATGGATCCAGGATTCAAATCCAGGGCCATGCTTTGAAATCCAATGCTCTTTTAACATGTTCACATTGTCTTTCTCAAAGTTTGCCTAGTATTCCTAAGAGGCAACCAATCATTCCTCATTGAAGAGAGTATCGATACCTCTAAGCAATAAAGAACGTCAGAGGGAATCCTAAGGTGAAGCAAAGATGGGCTTCTTGGACAACAAACTGACTAACTGAGAAGTCAAGTCTTCAACTGATCTATTAAGCAAAGAACAAGGAAGAAGAAATCTGCCATAGTCATTGAAGTTTTAGACTGAACTGAATTGTTGAGATCTCCATAGTGAGGACCTGAATCCCTGGCTTAGCAGTAGATCTTATCTAAAATGTTGAAGATCCTCCATACCATGCTGAGTCCAAGGAATAGGCTTCCCTTGACATACCTAGATAGTGTTCATCCTAACATTTGCCTTCCACAGTTTACAGTTAAGTGACAAATTCTAGTGACTGATACAAAATATTGGGATTCCTCATGCTTTTGCCAAATTAGTATTTAGGCAGATACATACTCAGCCCTCATAAAACTTGCTTACCACACATGGAAAAGTAGGCTCATTCTGGCTTCCTTCTCTCCTGCCCCCAAGAATGAAAGCCATTTGTAGTAAGTTCCCTCCGATTCCTTTTAGGTTAGGATTTTAAACAAGAAGATGGATTTTAGCGAGGTTCAGTCCAGATGTGGTTCCAAGGATAACATCAAACATTCTGCAGGGGGAGGAAATGTAAGTAGAAGCTGCTACTTGGAGGGTGTCCTTAACTGTGAGTGAGCCTCCTGAAGAGCCAGCCCTCTGTCACCTTTCCTGCCTTGCTTCTTCCCAAGCACTTTCCCCCTTTCTCACTACTGTTTAATGTGTCAGCCTGGTCTAGTGGCATGTCAACCGTGACTGTTGAGTAACAAGCTTCCTATCCTTTCCTTATGAGTCTTCCAGCAAATTAAACTGCATAAGGTAAACCTGTGGAGCTAGGAGGACAGCAAGTCCATTTACTTTACCATTTTGATCCACTGGTCTTTGCCTGGTGCTCTCTGCCTTCCTCCTCCAGCAAAAATACAGTATTAGCTAGCTGAACCACATGTCCCAACTGTTCCATTGACATTATGGCAGTCCAACTTGCACAGGAGATGGAAGCTAATATTCTCAGAAGTATTCAGAGCAGTTACTCACCTCCGTAATTCGCTTGGAATATTGCAGAAGTGATCAAGTAAATTCTACATATAATTCAAAATAAAAGAATTTAAATCCCAATGTAAATTGTCCTGTAGGAGTTTTCCCTTCTCTCCTTCACTAGAACAAAAGTGGTATGGTAGGATAAGAAAGTATAAATCCAAAGGCTAGATGGTAAATGTCTCCAGTTCACAACTGAAATGGTCTATACTCAGAGAACAAGGAGGATTCCTTCTAGGGGTGGGAGGAAACACCAATCCCAACTATTTTATATATTTCAGCACACAGATTTCTTCCTGGATGAATTTTCCTCAAGCAAAGGGCAGGTGATCAGAGCCAGATGTCTGAGTTTTTCCTAGCTATGGGTCATTCACCACTCAAATGAGCACAAGGAGAGGGGAGGGAAGCAATCAAATAACATTCCCACTCTAGCAGCTGGTTCTTGGAATGATCACATTTTGGAGACTAATTACTGTGAGATCAATACATTGCTCACTGTTGAGTTTAATGAAAGGGGTTGGATAGGTTAAATGCTGAGTGCCAGATACTGATACTTATGGCTCCTTTTCCCTTTACTCCTTTGGACACTGATGAGGACACAGAGCTTGGTCTTGGGATTGTGTAGTTAACCTAAATACTGCATACTATTATAACAGAGTTGAAGGAAGACAGGATGAACTCAACCAGCTGCTCCTATCCTCCACTGCAAGCGCAGCAGATGAAAATGCCTAAGCAGCAAGGTTTGAATTGGGAGTCTAAATGACCTGAAAATAGGTAGAAGAACTTCCAATCTCCAAGGATTGGAGGGGGGATGACATTCAAAAAAAAAACCAAAGGAAAAAGAACTGAGCACTACCATGATACTATTACATGGTGCTTTAGGGAAGTTCCACTGACCAAGGTATAATCACTTACTAATACTGTAGAAAAGAAGCCTGTTCATTATACTCTACTTATATTTGAAATCTACTGATCACAATTAATACTTTTTAATCTTCAAAGCATTTTCCAGTATTAACCAATTCATCTTCCTCTGCTTTCTCTCGGTTTTTGCTTATAAGAAGTTTTAACATGGTGATACCTAATGCTCTGATTGAATGAAAGCTTGTATTAATCTAGTTGTTTCCATTCCACATGGTGTGTTCTGTTTCTACTAATAAAATCTTCGGTTCCAGGACTTTTACACTTGGGTCCTTCCTTCCTATCCAAATGGATTCAAGCCTGTGTGTGTGTGTGTCTGTGCTTTCCACTAAGTCTGTATGGGCTTGAACATCAGTTTGTGTGTATATTTAAACCATCTAAAATATATCTTATGTGACTCATGCAGATACAAATTGTTACTAAGAAGATTGACTTAAGCCACGTGACATCCAAATGCGGTTCCCTAAAGAATATCCGTCATCGGCCAGGTAACAAATAATAAAAACAGTTAAAAATGGAAATAATCATCTCAAAGGGATCATGTTCACCTTCTTTTGTCTTTCTGGAACATTTTGTTCTGTTCTATTCCTTAAGTTTCTAACAAATGCTATGTTTGTGGAATTCCTGCAACCGAGTTACATGCAAATTAATTACATTAAAGACAATAGCACCCTAACTCTGATTATTCAGACTAGAAATGCAGAGAAGAGGAAAGAGACTAAATATTAAACTATATTGCATAAGAATAATGTCAATAGCTTCCTTTGAAGATCATTTTTAATGGTATTCAACTATACCTGAGTAGACAAAAGACAAATAGACTTTATCTGAGTAGACAAAAGACAAATAGACTTTGGTGACTTTTTAAAGATTTGTTACACAAAACTATGACCATCCAGATTGTAATAATCACAAATTTAGAGTTGTAAAGGGACTTCTAGTCTAAAATCTTCACTTTACAAATTAAAAAAAAAAGTCAAGGCAAGTCAAGTTAAGTGACATGCCATTCCGTGATTTGGTTTTGTCTATCCGATCCTAATTTTTAAAAAGTGTTGCTACCTATTCTCTCACAAGGGTAAAAATCAAAGCAAATTCATCTTTGCATATAAAATCTTTCTATCTTGTACAGGTGGTGGCCGTGTGAAAATTGAAAGTGTGAAGTTGGATTTCAAAGAGAAAGCACAAGCTAAAGTGGGGTCACTTGACAATGCCCACCACATACCTGGAGGTGGTAATGTCAAGGTATGGAACCTCTTAGAAACCGAATCAGCCACAAATGAAAGAGCTGGGGTGGTAAGGAATGGGGATATCCTAACATGTATAGGTCATCTGAAAATCAGATCTGTAGACTAGAGACCCCCTGTTCTAATTTGTGATGACTAAGTCAATAATAAATATTCTTTGTCCTGAACAGATTGACAGCCAAAAATTGAACTTCAGAGAACATGCTAAGGCTCGGGTAGACCATGGTGCTGAGATCATCACACAATCTCCGGGCAGATCCAGTGTGGCTTCCCCCAGGCGACTCAGCAATGTCTCCTCATCTGGAAGCATCAACCTGCTTGAGTCCCCCCAGCTTGCCACTTTGGCCGAAGATGTCACTGCTGCCCTTGCTAAGCAGGGCTTATGAATCTGTCTCATTTAACACTGAATGAAGTAATTCTATTTAGTCATGAGCTCTTAGCAGGAGCGGGCTCAGAGCAGGTGTTATATTCAATCCCTACAAATTCTAAAAGAAATCTTATCCCAAGATTATGGTAACCATTACGATAAAAAAGAATCTCCCAAATTTAAGTATGTTCAGAAATTGACCTGATTTTCATTTGCAGCAGGAAGACTCATTGGCTTTACATGAGTACAATTGCAAAATATTCCATTGGATAATTCTTGTTGCTCTGCTCTGTCTTGCATGGAGTACTATGCTAAAAATGCATTTTTACCTTTCATGTGCCTGAAGGCCATCCACTATTTTCTGAAGAGCCTTGTTAATATCCAAGCTGCTCATTTCACTGGTCTGTTTATGGACAACAAAGATTGTCCTTTTGTAACTTATTACAGGTTAAATTAAACTGAAAGAGTCTGATTACAAGATGCGAAGAACATATTAAAAAAAACAAGTTTAAAAAAAGTATTATTTTGTATAAATGGGAAGAAAGATTCAATTAAGTTATTAACATTTTGGGCCTGGATAATTAAATCAGTGTATAGGTGATTCTGATAAATTATTTAACTAATTAAAAAAAAGTAGTTGAAGAACAGTTGAACTGTATTTTTGAGGAAGTGATATACAAGAGCAGCTTTTAGACATGGAGCACTTCCACAACTATGGACTTGTGTCTGATTAGGATGTCAGTTAATTGGCTAGATTTGTGTCCACACTACAAGTTTCACATCCTTTCCATCTGTTTGATACAGTATTATAGATATACATATATATATACATATATATATTTCTCTGTGGCCATTTGTGATACTCCCTCATATACTTGAATATTATACTTCTTTATTATTCACAGTATCTGTGTCTCTTGCACCCTTTGGTGTTGAAATTTTAGGTATGTGAAAGTAGATGTTAGCAGGGTTTTTTCCCTATTACAAACAAAAAAAAATTAAAAAGAGAAAAACTTTTAGCATGAAGTTGCTTTCTGTAACAACTAAAAGCCGTGCCCCTGTTATAGTGCCAGATACAAGTCTCTTCTGTAATGCTAGAATTTTTTTTTCCTTTTCTGTTTCTCTTCACCAACATAGATGTTGCTGGGGAGGTCTGGATCTATGTAAAAGGATCGAAAAACTGTTGGTTTGAGATTCTGGAATTTTTTTTAAATTAAGAAGTAATTTGGATTTTACTTCAATAATTATGAGATGATGGCCTCTTTTATTTATTTACTTTTTTTTTTCATTTGCTAAAGTTGAATCCAAGAAAGTGAATTTGAGAAAATGTCATTCCTCTCCTCAGGATGGCATCTCCTTGTTAAATTAGCTAGACTATCAGAGGAGGCCACCCATTGAAATAAAACATTTGTCCACATATCAAAAAAGTAAAAATACTTTCAATTAGAAGAATACTTTTTTTAAGTGTGCATAGAAACAAAAAGTGGAAATGCAGCATCCGATTTGATGGATTTACTTTTCAGCATTCTGCTTGCTATAACACTACATCAACTAAAAAAAAAAAATGCTGCAGCTTAGTATGGTTTCTCAAGGGAGAGGGCTGTTCTGATATTATCTACAGTAATCTTGCCTAGAAATCACGAAACAACTAGTTCAAATCACAGATTGTTGATTTTAAACCCCTTGACAAACATTTTCCATGATCCATTTCTGAGCTGCCTCTAAAAAGGGCCAGAGAATGACATGATTTATAGAAGTTCTTTGCTATTTTAAGTGTTCTTAAGATTCCTCATCTTAGCAACTGAGCTAAAACAGTGTTGAAGTCAGAGAGTGATTTGTTGTTTCTTTTGAGCTAATTGTTTTAAAAATTGACAATGATAGTAGAAAGGAGAGGATGAGCGCGGAAGTCAGCAACATTTTAGTGGGTATCATCTAACAAAAATACAAAGGGTGAAGAGACAGGAAACTGTCGGGGTAATATAATGATCCGTCTGACATTGTTATTGATGTAAATTCCCCAAGGGAAAACCCCTAGAAACACAGAAAATCCTTTACTTCATTAGTTTTCAGCAGAGAGTTTTTATACACTCCCAATCTTGTCTAACCCTGTCTATCAGTCAGTTGTTTGATGCAAATGTTGTGAATTTAGAAACTGAGTGGGACAATGGGTTTCTAATTTCTGCCTTGTAATTGCTGAGTAGAGTTTGCTTAAACTAACCCTGGCATTTACATAGAAATATTTCCTGGTGTAGTGCATCAAAGTCCTTCATGTTGCACAAACAGGAAGACTAGTAGTGTGGAACACATTGTGGACCCTGTACCACCAATGAGTGAAAAATAACTTGGCAGTATTTTTCTTAAGCCTTTTGATAGTGTTAGCTAGCAACTAAAGGACTGTGGAATATTCATTCAACAGAAATTGAACACCAGCTGGTCAGAACAGCATTTAACCTGTGACTCAAGTATTTTTTTTTTTAGATCTGCTTTAAAATTACAAACACACACCAAAAACAAACAAAAAGAATGATTCATGATGGTGAAGTTTAGTTACCTGCATATAAAAGTCTAGAGTTAGATTAGTGGAAGACATTTATTTGACTCTAGTTTTTTCTTGTCCAGTCCTAACAAGGTCTTTAGAATGACTAAGTTGACTTGCCCAGAAGGAATCAAGAGTCTTTTTAAAAATCAGCAAAAAGAAACAGATTTTTGCTGACTCAAGGGAAACACACAGGTTAAGTTACAGGGCTCTTGAAGCCCCTTGAAAAAGCCAAGCCTTGTCTTCACTCTTAAGAACAGTACTCAACATAAGCTTTGCAAACACAATACTAATAAGAAAGACAATGCATCTGGCAATCTAGGAATCAGAGCTCTAAAAGCTTTTGATTCTAGATCCTCTATATCCAGCTTTACTCTGGCTTTGGCTGCTGAGAATCAGTCTCACTGTAACTGCCTAAGTAATCCAGATTCATGAAGAGTTATAAGGCCAACGTTCACAAAAGAACCAACTCTCTCTGGAATCACCTGCAACTGAGAAACATTTAAATTACCATGATCCAGATTCATGAAGAGTTTTAAAGGCCATGTTCACTTGAACCAACTCTCTCTGGATTCACCTGCTGTGTTAGCAGGATGATGGGCTCCAGTCCCATCCACAAGCAAAAGCCCTGTGTAGCACTAGGTAAACAAGGACCTGAAAAAGGCTGGACAGAGAAAACTGATGGAAGTTGGGAAAATGCAAAGGCAATTGGCCTACAAAACCTATGGTAGACTTTACATTTTTTCTTACTACGTACAACAGGAAATGGTATATTAGCCACCAAATAATATTACATTAGTATTAATGTAGTGATATTCCTCATAATTGATTCCAACACAACTGGAAATATAAACATTTTTGTTTTCTGTCTTTCATGCCAGAAGAAAGAGGAAAGGGAATCATTTAGCCTTTAAGTGGCAGAAAAAGAGATTTGCTGCTTGGAAGTGAATTCATAATAAGTGGAGACAGATTTCATATATTCCTTCAATATTTCAGCTTAATTCCATGTTTGTGTTTAAAGTTATACAGGTAGGATTCTAGCCTAGGTGAGTAAGCTGGAGCGATTCCCTCTACAACAAAGCTGCCTATTTTCAGACTCCGAAAAGGTTAATCATAACAATTCACTTCAACTTTAGCAAAGAGGAAAAAAAAAAAGCAAAAAATGTACACCCAGTGTGTCTGGATTCCAAGTGTTAAAACACAACTTACAAATCTATGGGGTTTTTTTTCTGAGAATTCTAGAGCCTGTTACCATAGAGAGGCATTTCTTCAGTGGCTGTTGGTAGTTAGTTCATGTTTTTCAATCAGATTTGCAATTGTATTTGTTGCTGAATAGTGATTGTTTTGCAAAATAAAATTGCTTGTCATCTAACTACTTATCTGATGAGACTACTTCTTCCATTGGATGGGTGTTTATTCATATTTGTGTGTGTTTTTCATTTTACCTTTGCTTAAAGGACAAGAAGAATATTAGGGTCAAGAAGTTTGTCTTTTGACCCCAATTTCTGTCCTCCCCTTTTCCCCTAGCCAGAGGTATATGGCTCATAAAATTCCCCCATATGGCTAAACCACATTAAAATATAATTGGGAAATGTTTAACTAAATACATAAAAATATAATACAACATAGATATTGTTAATATGTGGCTTTCTAATTCAATATGCTGCCCACAGGAATACATTCCTATTGGAATTTGACACCATTGCCTTGTACCACACCCAAGCTCCTCCGGACCTCAGTAAATAAACAAGCCCCAACAAGCCACCAACACCCTAGCCCTCCAACTGACATGGTGTCCTAACAGTCCATAGGACTGTCCCTACTGGGCAAACGTCCTGCTTTTCCTCCTCCCCCACACCCTATTGCAATTTGTCCTTCAATGCCTCATCTTCCTTGGGCCAAGACTTTCACTAGTAAGCTATGATGAGGTCTAGAGGTTTAGGGGTGCTGGAACCCTGAGATGGAGACATGCAGGTCCTGCCCGAAAGAATTTGACCCAAGCCTTCTTTCTGCCAAAAACAAGGTTTATTAAAGACCAGTCATATTGTCAGACTGATGCTGTTTTGGGGTTCAGAGGTCCTGGGACCCCAAAATCACAACACAAGAGTCCTGCCCAAAAGAATTTGACACAAGCCTTCTTTCAGCCAAAGACAAGGTTTATTAGAACACTGTCATATTGGGCAGACTCTTAAGGAGTCTAAACACGGGTAAGCAGTGGCTAGATTATAAGAATCTAAGCATCTTAAGGGAGACAAGATAGACCTTACATACAGAAAGACTATAGGAGGGATCCTAGGAGTGACCAAGTAGTCTATCAGGTAATAGAATTCCAGGGACCTTGGCCAAGAGAGAATAGAGAAATGGCCTGGGACCATAGGGAGGTCCACAATGAAAGGCCAGTTGATGGGGATTATAGCCTCAGGGGAACACCAGAGATTTAGCCATGTGGAAAAGTCCAAGGTTTTTCCTTTCTGGGACCCAGATCCCAACCCCATCATTCCCCCCTCAAACAAATGGGACCCAAACTCTTTTGGAGTAAGGGGCAAAGGTCTCGGTTTCTGAAACTGCTTCCTGCTGGCAAGGGACATAGAGCTGTCCTTGCCTCGAGGGGGTCCCAAAGAGGAGGTTGACTGGAACCTAGCACAGGCTGCAACCAGGGAACGATGTGGGAACATTGGTTGGTACTTGCTGTTTGCTACCAACTGTAGGTGAATGACCTATAGTCTGGAAGACACAAATCTGACAGAAAAAAACTGCAGGGCCCAGATATAAAACAGGGACTAGATTTAGGGTCCAACTTTGAAAGGATAAAACATCCTTAGCTCTGTTTGGATTCCAACCACGCAGTATCAAATCCACCTCTAGCCAGACTCAGGAATAGGCAGGTGGGTAACATTCCCTTTCAAAAGAACATAATGGGGAAACTGAGTCAGGAGGATCCCATCTTAGACTGAGGCTAAAATTGTCCTCTCAGCTTTTCCCAATGCTGACTTTCCACCAGTATCACCTTCTCTGAGTACCCTGTGGCATTTCTCTGAGTAGCTTGTGGCATTTCTCTCAGATGGTGGATTATTGATTATCAATTGATTATGACCTTTCAGACAACTCAAAATAAAATCCTATGAGCTTTTACCTCAAACAGCAAGTTTTACTAATCACAGCTTAGGAAAGACTTTTCCAAGATTTACATCTCAAACTTAAATTTGTCTTTGTGTAAAAAGCCAATCATTAGAGATTTCTACACACTTGCAAATTCTCAGCAAGCCATACATAACCCAAACAAGCTTTTTGGCTAGTTTACACATTAAAACAATAACCAACAATAGCTAAATTATTTTAGCAGTAACCAAATTATGAAAAGTTACTTGACATAACCAATACAGAAAGTTCACCAATTTGAAACTTGAAACAAGCCCATTACCAATGAGGTGCCTTCAGTTTTGTTAAATGCACTTCCAAATTACTTTACACAGAGAATCAACGTCTCATCATTAATAGTTAAAACTGTAAATTTTATTGATGTCTTTCGATTAAAAGAGTAGTTCTGACCAATAACAACCCAAGTTAATTTTTTTTTTTTTTTGGTGAGGCAGTTGAGGTTAAGTGACTTGCCCAGAGTCACACACAGCTAGTGTGTCTGAGGCCGCATTTGAACTCAGGTCCTCCTGACTTCAGGGCCAGTGCTCTATCTACTGTTAAAACTATAAATTTAAAAGAACGTGCTTACCCAAGTTTGGAGGCTAGTTTCATTCTCTTGAGCAGGGTGTGCTGAACCTGGGTGATGCTTCCAGGCAAAGGTTGCCCCAGAGCCCAAGGCCATTGCCGGGGAGGCCCATGCTGTCCTTGCTGCCCCTCCCCTCTCCTTCCTTTCCCAGGTGGGGGAGGTCAAAATCAAAAGTGAGAGGTAAAGGGTGAAACTCTCTTCTCCTATGAAAGGGGTTAACAGATGCCCTCTTGACTCAAGCGAACGGAGTGGGAGAAAAGAGTGACTAGGGTTATAAAGAGGAGTTCTAAACTCCTTAACGATCAATCACAAAACCTCCAGAATCTGCCAAGATATTTTTAACTGTTCTGACTTTCCCTGTAACCTCCATGAAGGAGGATTCAGAGGTGCAGAGGGAAGGGAGTAAGTAAGCTTCAGGGAACCAAAAAGCAACTGCAGTTTTCCCCAATTCCCTAGCACGGAGAGAATTAACAGATACACTTTCGGATAGGGCATCCATCCTTGTCCTCTATGCTGCGGAAGGTGTACCCAGGTCCATGGCCTTGAACCAACCCAGTGGACCGAGAGCCTGAGAGCATTAGGCCAAGGGTGAGACAGCCTTGTAACTGTCTGCCAGAAAAGCACGTCCAAGCCTTGGTACTTGGAGAGCAACCCCAACTGCTAAGCAAGAAAGGGAGGGAGAGGAGGTTTACATCCCTTCCAGTCTTGGCTGGAGAAGAACTTGGGCTTAGACAATTTCCCCATACGGGCCACCAAAATGATGCAGTTTAGGGGTTCAGGGGTGCTGGGACCCCAAAATCACAACAAGAGGGTCCTGCCCAAAAGAATTTGACCCAAGCCTTCTTTCAGCCAAAACAAGGTTTATTAGAACATCCCTGATATTGGGCAGACTCTTAAGGAGTTTAAACATAGGTAAGCAGTGACTAGATTATAAGAATCTAAGCATCTTAATGGAGACAAGATAGACCTTACATACAGAAAGACTATAGGAGGGATCCTAGGAGTGGCCAAGTAGTCTATTAGGTAATAGATTTCCAGGGACCTTGGCCAAGGGAGAATGGAGAAATGGCCTGGGGCCATAGGGAGGTCCACAATGAAAGGCCAATTGATAGGATTATAACCTCAGGGGACCATTGAGGAATCTAGGAGTCTGCAAGTATTGACTAGATTCTAAGAATCTGAGCATCTTAATGGAGACAAGATAGACCTCATATACAGAAAGGCTACGGGAGGGATCTAGGAGTGGCCTAGTAGTTTGGGGTGACTGGAGGAGGGGTCCAAGGAGATCTGGTTGGGAGTGGTCAGTAAACTGGGGTGAATACCTGGAACCTGTAAAATGGAGATTAAGTGTGGGAAATGGCTGGGGGGGGAGGGGAAATAGGGAGGTAAGAGACTGGGGCCATAGGGAGGGGAGACTGGGTGTAGCCACAATGAAAGGCCAGTTGATGGGATTATAGCCTCAGGCAAAAGTCAGAGATTTTTGACTTGTGGGAAAGTCCAAGGTTTTTCCTTTCTGAGGTCCAGATCCCAACCCCTTCAAGCTACACCCTCCTAATGAATGGACTGGTGGAAAAGGGATAAAGGGCAGCAAACTAGATAATGAATCCTGATTCCAGGTCCAGTACTCTATCCACTGAGCCACAACGGAAGAGAGAGAGTATGATATAGTGGGGAAAGTACCTGACTTAGTGTCAGAAAAGTCCTGAATTCAATGCTGTGTGAAGATAAGACAAGGCACTTAATCTTCTCTGAGTTTGCTTCCTCACCAGAAAAATGAAGATAATGCCCCCCCCCAGAGTTGTGAAAATCAAATTTGAAAACAACCATAAAATACTTTGTCTAATTAGATGCCATAGTATGGCTAGGCTAGCTAAATGGCACAGTAGATAAAGCACCAGGCCTAGAGTCAGGAAGACCTTAGACACTTGCTAGCTGTGTGACCCTGGACAAGTCACTTAATCCTGTTAGCCTCAGTTTCCTCACCTGTAAAATGAGCTGAAGAAGGAAATTGCAAACCTCTCCAGTATCCTTGCCTAGAAGACCCTCAAATGGGATCAGGAAGAGTCAGACACAACTGAAATGACTAAAAATGTGAATAGAATGTGAATAGAATGCTGAAGTTGGAGTGAGGAGGCCTAGACTTTCAAATGTGCTTCAGGTTCTAGCTGTTCATCCTTGTTAGGCAAATGTCATCTTAACCTCAGTTCTTTACCTATGTGATAGTTATAATAATAGCACCTATTTACAGAATTATTGTGACATCCAATGAATGAATGAATGCATAAAGATAACAAATAAACCTCTTAACGTGTCAAGCACTATGTTTAGTGCTGGTCTTACAAATACAAAAGGGAGGATAGTACTGGTTCTCCTGGAGTTTACATTCTAAAGGGGGAAACCACACACACTTGGGAGTGGTGGCTACTTAGTAAGTAGGACCACCAAATAGACTGAAGTACCTTTTTT